CCCGGCCGCTGCCGCCATCCCCGCAGCCACCCCAGCGCCCCGGCTCCGCGTCCGCCATGACAGCCGAACCGGGACTCGAACCCTTGTCACTGAGCGACGGCGGCGCGAATGTGCGTCACCTGGGAAAGGGGCGGGCTACGAGTGCCCAGCAGGCCAACACACCACCGAAGGCGGCCGGGCTGGGGGCGGAGCCGGGATGGCCACGCCCCTCTACCACGCCCCATCACCGAGGTCCGCGCAGGCCTCCCGGGTTCTATTTTGTTTGTTTTTCCGCGATGGGGCTGGAACCCCCGGCTCCCGCGTGCTGGACAAGCGCTCCGCCTTCTGGATTATTTTCTTAACTCTACGACGTCACCTCCTCCAGGAGCTGTCCGGGTCTCCCAAGCTGAGGTCTTCCAGAGCCCCTGGCCTGTCACCTTTCAAATGTTAACGTCAACCTACATTGAGGGTCCTGCCTGGAGCTGTGGATTCCCAGGAAGACCCCAAGATGTCCTGATTTAATAACTCCAAGAGGGAACCTAGTGTTCGCATTCTTAACAAGAGTGCCCCTCAACCCCCTAATTGTGCCCAGCTTGATCTACAAAAGCCCTAGTGCCCACGCAGACTGGGCACGTCTTGAGGACAGGGATGCTATGTTACTCATTCCGTGCCAATACAGGCCCTGGCCCAGTGCACGGTGGGGGAATGAGGGAGCCACCTCTTCCCGTTTCAGTCATGTCCACCCATCTCCGCTCCTCCTCAGCCTACTCTCTTACTCGGAAGGCTCCCTGCCTTGTAGCTGCAGGTGTGTACGCGTGTCTCAGCTCCTCTCCCCAAGGAGGTCAATGAAGGGAAGCGAGGACCCAGAGATGGAAACCAGGCAGAGATGCACACGAGAGTTTGTCAGAGCTGTCTTGCCCTGGTCACCCTCTCTACATATAGAAGAGAGAGGCCCCCAGATGTTCGGGTGTTCTTTTGTGGGGTAGGGGTTTGGAGATGGGGGATAGGCTTGGGGGTGCTTGCGTCAGAGCTAGGCGGGTGGGGAATAGGGTCTTAGGTCGATGGCATCATGGGGCTTTCGCAGTCAAGTGGTCATTTCCCTCTGGGGTTATGGTACCATGGGTCACCAATGGGGTTGGGGGTAGCTCCAGTAAGAAGAAGTACAGGAAAGCGAAACATCCCATAGACGGCTGTTGGGATTTTAAATCAGTACCCTATAGTCAACACTTACCAGCACTTGTTGGATGGTTATCCCCCTGCCCTGGGAGTTATGCAGTCTACATAGGAAGGAGCGGGAGGAAACTGGCTTTTTCAGCATAGTATGATGAGTGCCATGATGTCGATAGGGAGGGGGCTGCGGGCCAGCCTGGTGTTGGAGAAGGTTCTGAAAGACCTTGTAATCATTTGCTTCTCACCGTCATCATCAGAGTCAATATTCAACTCTAAATTGTTCTAAATTAGTTAATTGGTAGACTCATAGTGTTGGCCAGAGATCAGACTTGTGGAATTTGTTTCAATTACTTAATGCTTCCTTTTTTCTATCCTCCTCTTCCCCTCTACCCCTTCCCTCCCTCCTTCCCTCCCCTCCCCCTCCTCCCTCTTACCCTTTTCCTCTTTCAAAAGAAACCCTTCCCATCTTCCCATCCTCTATTATGAGAAAGTTTTCCTCTGATTTCTAAGCCTAGAATTTCCTCCACCATTTAGAGCATGGTACCCCATTTTATCATCTTTTTGAGCCTGTCATGGAGGGAGAAAAAAAAATCCTTGAATGGGGAATTAGAATTAAACTAATTAAATTTGAATTAAAAGATAGATTAAACTGATAAAAACCAAAAATTAAGGTGCATTTTATCAATGTATTATTTATCAAATAAATACATGGGAAAATAGGACTAAGCAGGGGGTTAGAATTTTACTAACTACCTTAGTAGAGGAGGGGAGAAGGGCACTTGTGGGAAAATGACTTTTTGGAGATATAAGTGGATCCTTAGGAGAACAGGTGAGAATCTGGTAGCTTTGTGGGTATGTCTACTTAAGTATGATGCAACATCTCTCCAGAGATGGAATGGGGGGCTGTCTTGCCCTGGTCACTCCTGTCTTGCCCTGGTCACTCTCCAGAAAGGGATTTAGGATACTTGAGCTTTTTCAAGTTCTTTCAGGAGGCTCTGCTTTTAGATGGATGAAAAATTACTGGTACTCAACTAATGTTTTCAAAATTAATTTTATGCTACAGTGGTATATTTGGAACCCCTTTAAGTTTGGAAGGTATGCAATAAGGGCAGCAATCTGCACCTACCCCTGTTACGACTTAAGGCTCAGTCTGCCAATCCCACTAGGGCTTGTCAAGAGGCAAGGCGGTGGTAGAGAACTTTATTATCAAAATCTTCCCCAGAGGCTCATGTAGGAGCAGTTTATGTAGAAGATGGGTGATCACAGACTGGCAGGCACCTTCTCGTTGGTGGAGGTTTGTGGACAAATAATACACGCATTTGATCTCAATTATCTAGTCAGGAGATGCTTTTTGGTTCTGCAAATCTGAAGAACAAGCATTATTTCCTTGGGTTATTCTTTTTTTTTTTTTTTTTTTTTTTTTAAACAGGATTAAGCTCAAGGGCAATTAATCACTGAGCCACATCCCCAGCCCCCCCCCCCGCCTTTTTTTTTTTTTTTTTTTGTATTTTATTTAGAGACAGTGTCTCACTGAGTTGTTTAGGGCCTCTCTAAATTGCTGAGGCTGGCTTTGAATTCGGATCCTCCAGCCTCAGCCTCCTAGCAAGCCGCTGAGATTACAGGCCAGCACCACCGTGCCCAGCTCCTTGGGTTATTGTCACTGATTAGTTTGCCCACATGAAGCTCCTGACATATTACACAAAGCACAGGCTAGAAGCATTAGCTGCCCCAAAGCTCCCTTGCTGATTACCAGACTCAATAAAGAAAACATACTTCACCTATGACAGAAGATGAGAAGCATGTGAACTTCAGTTAGGAGTCCAGAACCACATCTCATCTCAGTGCTGGGCTTCACTCCGCGCTGCGTCCCTGGCCTAATCCAGCACCCTGCATATACATTCCTAGGTGTGCACAGGAGTTCCAGCTGTCAGCAGCCGTGGGCTCTTCTAATCTGCTGGCATTGACTGCATCCACGCCTATGACTTCGTCCTGAGCACTTAACCAAGGGCTTAAGCCTTTGGTCTGTGAACTTGGGCCTTGTTTGGACCAGAGGTTCACACATATTTGAGAAAAGAATGAACGATAGTGGAGACGTTTTCGCGGCGATGATTTGGAAAAAGCCCTGATATGAAATGCCATCGCCCCTAGGAACCTGGCTGTGGTTGAACTGAACACACCGGCCATGCCGGAGACAGGCTGCAGTGAGAAATGCACCCGCTGCCCTGCGGTTGAGATCTGGGCTGTCTTTACTGTGGCCGTTCATTCCTTGAGCCCCTGGAACGCGTGACTTCCAGACCTGGGCCGTCCACCACCAGAACTCGGAAACGGAGGTCCGCGCAATAGGGACCGCCAGGCGGCGCCGTCTGAAGGCCTCTGTCTCCGCATGCAGCACCTCCAGACGAGCTGGAGCCTTGGGACGGTCACGGTCCCTGGAACGCATCGGAGGCTGCGGATGGCTTCAGGCAGGCCCCAGGGACTTCGGCATAGCGCGCGGGCCCGGGCGGAACTGGGTCGATTTCCCAGCTGAGTCTGGAAAGATGCATCTGCACGCTGGGCCTCAAAAATAAAAGATTGACTCAAAGACATCATTTCAGAAGTATTTCTGAAAAAGAGGACTTGTGGCCCGTACGGGGATCGAACCCGCGACCTTGGCGTTATTAGCACCACGCTCTAACCAACTGAGCTAACCGGCCACTCGCTTCTCCCTGGCCGCCCTGACGCCTAGAAGGTTTGGCAGCGCTCTGGCGTCGCTCGGCTAGGCGCCCGGGCGGAGTCCCCGCCGGCTGCGCCCCTGCTCCAGTGGGACCAGCGAGAAACCCAGACCGGGGCTGGGGAGGCGGCTGTCTTCAACAGCGAGGCCTCGGCAGGCAGGATGGAGACGTGGCTGGGGAGCAAGCCTTTCGAATATTCCACTTCGATGCTGTTTTTATTACCTGAGAACCCTTGCCAGGAAGCTCCGGGCATGCAAAGCCTTTAGCTAAATCAAACTTGGAAAATACCGAGAGCCGGGTTAAGGACAGAAGAACCCTCGGGCTCCCCGCCGTCCATCAAACCAGAGCCTCTGGGGTCTTGGCTTCCTTCCTGCCAGTCTTTTTTAATTGTAGAGATGTCGTTTGAATCCAAAGCCTTACTTGAAAGAATACCATTTTATGTTGCTTTTTTTCTACTTAATATTCTATCATAAGCATATCCCTAAGTGATTGCAGGTGTCACTAATGTATTTTTTGTTCATCTTTTGAGACAGGGTCTCGCTTGAACTTGGCTGTCCTCCACCTCAGCCTCCTAGTAGCTGGGATCACAGGGCCAATGTCATTTTGTATGGTTCCTGTTGGGGATGCAGAGCCCTTGCCTAGCTTGTGTCAGGCCCTGAGTTCAGTCTCCAGTGCTGGGGGTCGGGGGAGTTCTTCAGCACAGAGTTTCACTGAATAGATAAAACATAGCTTTCCCCTTGTTATCTTATTTTTTTAAGATGCATCCTGCACGTGCCAGACGAACTCTCTACCACTGAGCCACAACCCCAGCCCCCTTTTTATTTATTTCTTTTTTATTTTTAGATACCAGGGATTGAACCCAGAGGCACTTAACCACTGCCTTGAAAATACTGGCTAGTCTGACTTTGAGCTCTCCATCCTCCTGCCTCAGGGGCACTGGGATTGATGTGCCACCTTGCCCTGCCTTTTGTGTGTGTGGTGCTGGGAATTGAACCTGGAAACTTGTGCGTGAAAGGCAAGCACTCTACCAACTGAGCTATATCCCAGTCCCATGCTTCTCTTCTTCTTCTTTTTTTAAAATTAATATCTAGGGCTGGGGATGTGGCTCAAGCAGTAGCGCGCTCGCCTGGCATGCATGTGACCCGGGTTCGATCCTCAGCACCACATACCAACAAAGATGTTGTGTCTGCCGAGAACTGAAAAATAAATATTAAAAATTTAAAAAAAAATTAATATCTAATTTACTTTTTAAAAAAATTGTAGATGGACACAATATCTTTATTTTATCTATTTTTTTAAAATATGGTACTGAGGATCAAATCCAGTGCCTCCGGCATGCGAGGCATGCACCTTACCACTGAACCACAACCTCCAGCCCTCTTTTCTTTTTAATGCTGGAAAAAATGTTTTCAATTTGCCCTCTTGTTAATGGAATACATCACATGATACAAGGTACAAGGGTTGAAATAGCTAAGAGGTAGCAAGGGGATAGGGTCTGTATATCAGGGGGAAAACAGGGTGGAGACAGCGATGGGAAGAGGACTCCACCATGTCTACGTCTGGCCCTTGCGTCCTGGGGCCTCCTGGTTGCTGAAGAGCCTCACCTGGGGCGCTGCTGTGGCTCAGGGCTCCCAGAGTGCAGGAAGGGAGCCAGGTTCACGTTGTCCACTCCTCTACTCTGTCTTCTCCAATAAACTGCAACTGCTGCACATTCACCTCCCTGATGAAAGAAGAAGAACCAAAATCCAGCTGATTCACAGACCTTACCGAAAGGATGTTACATAGTTCACCCCTCCATGAGGAAGTCTAGGGGACTGGTTTTAGAAAAGCAGTCAGTCGGTCCACACATACTCATCAAGCTTGGCAGTGCTGTCTCCAGATATCAGCTTAGAAAAGACAGATGTGACCAACAGAGAAGCTGAGGTGCCAGATTGACTACATGAGCCATGATGGGAGGCTGGGCCAGTTTCCTGAAGTCTGTGACGTTTGTGTTCCAAACAAGGATGCAGTGGGCCCCACCGTGGTAAGACCCTTCCCATGAGAGCTTCATCTGGCATAGTGCTGCTCCAGAAATAGGAGCCAACCCAGAGCCCAGCAACACTGGTAAAACCTGAGTCCACCTTGCCTGCGTTGGAGTTCCTCTAGCTCACTGGACAACTCCAGTTTATGTGTGTCCTTGATTCACACATGGCTGAGGCTCACTGGGGCGAGTCAGGACCACATCCTCCAAGTGTCCTAGATGATGCCCTTGAACCATTCCGAAGATGACATTTTGTAGCTCCCCCCACACCTGCATAAAAATACTAGCACAGGAAGTATTATTCCCCAGCAGGGTTTTTTTTTTTCTTTTGTGGGTCCCCTCGCACCCCGGAAACTGGAAACTGAATATTTCTGGAAAGTGCCACTTGTTGGTCCTGTTAGTTTACTGATTAGTTAGCCTGACCATGTTCTTAGTGACACATGTCCTGTTATTGTTGGAAAATACCAACTAGCTCTGTGTTACTCTCTTTTAATTGTGAAGCTCCAATAGAAGGTTTCCACTCAAAAACTAAAAATAAATAGTCAAATGCACGAATTTAAAAGTCACCTTAGTTTTATGTATTTTGAGATGGGGGAATATCTCCCTGCGTGGCCCGGGCTGGTCTCAAAGAGATACTCCTACCTCAGCCTCCCAAGTAGATGGGATTACCAGCCCTCACAACGGTGCCAAACCCATTTTACATTTTAAAACGAAGTCAGATTAAGCCATTTCTCTTTTCCAACTCGCTTTCTTTCCAGGCCCGCAAATAAAAACGCAGGAAGCCCACCGAATCCCACATGAACAGTGAAGCACTGTTCGCCATATCTGGGACACGCTTATCCTGAAACAGCACGGACATAGCACTGTGCTGTGCCTGGCACCATGCCCCGGGCAACAGTGGGTTGAAAGACCCGCCTGACCCTCGGCTTCCTTTCTGCGCACCCGCGCGGCTGCTCGGCTCCCTCGGCAGCAGCCCCGCGCCCTCTCCAGCCTGGGGTGTTCATTCTCGCTTCCCCTCTTTTTCCTTTTTTTTTTTTTTTTTTTTTGGTGTTCTTTTGTTTTTTTGGTGGGGGGTACCGGGGATTGAACTCAGGGGCACCCACCACTGGGCCACATCCCCAGCCCTCTAGTATTTTATCTAGAGATGTTCTCACCGAGTTGCTTAGCGCCTCACCGTTGCTGAGGCTGCCTGTGAACCCCGATCCTCCTGCCTCAGCCTCCCCAGCCGCTGGGAAGACGCTTCCGCTCTTGCTGCCTGCTCCTCCCGACGCCCCTATCCCGGGAGGCTGCCTTCCCTTCCCATCCCTCAGAGCTGGCTGCTGTGCCCCCCGCCCCCAGGACTGGACTGCGGGAGGCAGTGCTCGCGTCCCCTCTGCATCGCCAGCTGCGAGCACGGTGCCGGGCCGCGGCGGTGCGCAATCGAGGTCGGTCCCGCCGGCTTTCCCGCGGCCCCGGGTGCGCACCCGGCGGCGGACGTCAGGGGGCGCCCGAGGCCCGCGCGCTCCGCTCGGCCCGGCGCCTGGCTCCTGCGCCCCGGGGCTCTCCGGGCTTCGGAAGCTCTCTCCACTCTGCCTCCGGCCTCGCTAGCCGGCCTCGCTAGCCGGCCTCCCGCATCACCGAGTCCGGACTCGCCCCCCTTGGAAGGACTACGGTCCCGGTGGCCCTGGCGACCGCATTTTAACCTCGTGGACACCCCCTCCCCGTGAAGGGCGCGTCAGAACTGCTCAGGCCTCTGCGTATCCCACATCATTCACCCTCGTTTCTTCTGTTAGTAAAGCTTCAACTTGCAAAACAGGTTTAACACTGAATTGCTCCACAACTACTCTATTTATAAATTAAATAAATAAGAAATGCCATTAGGCCGAGCGCCACCTGTAATCCCAGCGGCTTGGGAGGCTGAGGCCGGAGGATGGCGAGTTCAAGGCCAGCCTCAGTAACTTATAGAGGCCCAAAGCAACTCAGAAGACCCGGTTTCTAAATAAAATATAAAAATGGGTTGGGGATGTGGTTCACTGGCTAAGTGCCCTGGATTCAGTCCCTGGTATCAAAAAATTAAAAATGGCATTAAATGTTTAAAATATGTATGTGCTGTAAATATTCACGAATTTGGTAAGTGGTACTGGGGATCAAACTCCAGTGCTTGTGAGGCAAGCACTTGACACTGAGCTACACACCAGCCCCTGATTTTAAGTTCTTAAAACACTAAATGATGCTTTTTGAAAGTTGAAGTGTTATATTCAAGAAAAATAAAACAAATATATGATTTTAAGCCATATAGTACTAAAAGCTTATGATGAAGAGCATTCGTCCAGCCCATCCCCTCCCTGTCACCATCCAGCTCCTACAGGTAACCATTGTGAGCCTTGATTTCTTCTGCCTTTTCCTCCCATAAATCTAAGTAATATGATTATACTATTTTTTTTCAATTTTAGACACTATCTGTCAAGTTCGTTCTATACAAATTAGGACATAGTTCTTTTTCCAACATTTTCCCAACTCACATGTACTCCCCTTTCCTATGATTTTCAAATAATAATACCATTGATTTTTTTAGCTAAATCAGTATTCGGTATTTACATTGTTGTTTCTATAAACACTGTTCCCAACTCAGCCACAAGGTTTACTATCATTACTTTTCTTTCTAACAGAACTGTTTGTGTTCCTCTGGGTTTACTTTGCTAATTTCCTTTTTCTTTTAAAAAATTTTTATACATTTATTTTTTTAAGAGCGAGAGAATTTTTTAATATTTATTTTTTAATTTTCAGTGGATACAACATCTTTATTTTTTTTTTAACGTGGTGCTGAGGATTGAACCCAGCACCCTGCACATGCCAGGCGAGCGCACTACCACTTGAGCCACATCCCCAGCCCTATATCTTTATTTTATTTATTTATTTGTTTATTTTTTCCAACAAATCCAAGCATAATCTGTATTTGATGACTTGTTTTCTGACAAGGATATTTGTTAAGACTTGTTATATTTATTTATTTTTATGTGGTGCTGAGGATCACTGAAAATTCGGAGTCCTGCACATCTGAACACAATTTTTCTTCTACCCTCACCCTTGGCCAATAACTAGAGAACTCTAGAACAGAGCTCCCTCAGCAAGCAGAAAGCCACACTTCATCTTCTATGTCCAGTCCAATGAGATATCCCAATTGGGACTTCCAGTGCTGGAACCCGGGGTTTTAGATATATCTAGGTTTTCTCTTTCAACACTGTTTAGAACTTCTCACTATCCCCTATGCTCTGAAATGTCCTAAGTGTACCATTCCTGTGTCCTGGGTGACTAGAGTAGTGCTGGGCCATAATAGGTGCTCAGTAAATACTGGTGAAAAAAATCAAACTCCACATTCTGGCCATTCCTCAGGCCTTTCTACTCAGAAATGTCCCCATCCACTCTAGAAACACTTTTGTGAAGAATGTTTCTGATGGAAATTTCATAATCTCCTTCATCTGAATTTTTTCTTTTTCTGGGATGCTATTCTTCAGAGGTCAGACATGAGTTGATGCTTTGATTTTCCTCACTCTTCCATCAGCTAGACTTCTTTTGTTTATTTCCTAAACAATTCCCGTGAACTACCTAAACTACCTTCCCACTTTCTTTCAACACTTTTTTGTGTTGACTATGGATCCAGGGGCACATAGATGGAGACAATAGAACTTCCAATCATAAAGTTGAATTCTGAGGGAAAAAATTGAAAGGAAAACAAAAATAAATCCAGAAACAAAAATGCTTCATTATACAATATGTACATGTCAAACTGTTAGATCATACAAAAGAAAAATAGAGAAACAGAAGGATTTTTCAGATGTTGCTTCTAATTTGCTTCAACAAATCGGTTGATTCCAGAAACCAGGAGACCTTAAAAATTTCTTTCCTTAAGGTGGAATATTCTCCCGCCTCTTATTGCTTTTCAGTGGCTTCCAATTACTACTCCTCCTATTATTATTATTATTATTATTATTTTGGTACTGGGGTATTTAACCACTGAGCCACATCTCCAGCCCTTTTTGGGTGGGGGGTACCAGGGATTGAACTCAGGGGCACTTGACACTGAGCCATATTTTATATAAAGACAGGGTCTCATTGAGTTGCTTAGCACCTCACTATTGCCGAGGCAGGTTTTGAACTTGAGATCCTCCTGTCTCAGCCTCCGGAGCTGCTGGGATTAAAGGCGTGTGCCACCACGCCTGGCTCCATTCCCTTTAAATTTTTATTTTTGAGACAGAATCTCACTAAGTTGTTGAGACTGTCACCTAAATTGATCAGACTAGGACTTCTGATCTTCTTGCCTTAGCCTCCCAAGTCTCTGGGATTACAGGTGTGGGTCACTGCATCCAGCTGTCCTTTGACATTTTTCTAGTGTCAAAAGATAAATTCACAACATACTTAGTTATAGGTTGAATTGGATTTTGTTCCAGATTCAAGAATTGGGGCAGCCTCCATTCTTCAAAACAGAATGAGAGCTCCCACTATGCAAAAACAGAACCATGGGTGGTAACAGAACAATAGAAAGAAAGCTGATGGGTTAGTGTCAAGTTGTATTATTTTGGCAGGAGTGAAAGCAAAGCTGACTTGGGTAGACTGGATCTCCTGTTTTGGGGAAAAACTAGTGTGTTTTGGGATCTATTTGCTTAAATTTTCAGTTTGATGGTAGCATTTAGCACAAGTGACTCCATTTTGTTTTGGTCTGGTTTGTTGTGGGCTAGTGTGGAAGCCCCTCCCAAAATGATGGCCTCCCATAGTTTATATATATATATATATTATACCTTTATTTTGTTTACTTTTATGTGGTGCTGGGGATCAAACCCAGTGCCTCACCCATGCTAGGTAAGCGCTCTACCATTGAGCCAAAACTCAGCCCCTCCAATAGTTTTTTAACACTACTAATTTTTTTTAAACCATAAAAAAATTTAAGCCAGGTTTCGTAGCACATGCCTTTAATCTGAGCTACTTGGGAAGTTGAGGAGAGAATCCCAATTTCAAGGCAATAAATTAAAAAGGACTGGAGGTGTAGCTCAGTGGTAGAGGGCCTCTAGGTTCAATGCACAGTACCACACCCATACACACACAGGATATTTTAAGATTTTTGTATTATATGTTTCAAATCAGTTTTTCCGAATGTTGTCTTAATCTTTTAGATAATAGCCAGTGTCCACACCAGAGTGGAGAAGAGGGAATTTGTGTACAGACTTTTCTATATGTTGGTAGAATATTGCTGGTGAGTGATTTTCTATATTTAAATTGTGAATGCCGGGCTGGGGATGTGGCTCAAGCCGTAGCGTGCTCACCTGGCATGCGTGCGGCCCGGGTTCGATCCTCAGCACCACATACAAACAAAGATGTTGTGTCTGCTGAAAACTAAAAAATAAATATTAAAAAAAAATTTTTAAAAATTGTGAATGCCTTTTAACCTATTAACTCCTATCAAAACAATCACACGAATGTTTAAAGATATGTACAAGGATACTTTCTGGTCTTGTTTGTAATTGTGAAAAATAAAGCATTTATAGGGAAAAATTATATCATGTAATATAACACACCTGTTAAAAAGCATAGGTTAGGGGCTGGGGCTGAGCGGTAGCACACTTGCCTGGCATGTGTGAGGCACTGGATTAGATAGATTCTCAGTACCACATATAAATAAATATATATATCAACAATTAAAAAAAATTTTTTTTAAAGCATAGGATAGCTCTCTATGTGCCAATATTGAAAGGTGACTAGCCAGTCACATGCCATATGACTGTAATCCCAGTAACTCTGGAGACTGAAGAAGAAGGATCACAGGTTTCAGGCCAGCCTCTGCAACTTGGCAAGACCCTGTCTCAAAATGAAAAAATTAAAATTAGGAAAAGTCTGGGGATGTAATGGTTAAGCGCCCCTAGGTTCAATCCCCAGAACCCAAAACAAACTCAGAGTGACTATAATATATTAAATGAAAAAAAGAAAACTATAGAAGAATATATATGATTTATCTATGGTTTTCAATTATGGGAAAATTTGTCCAAATACATAATCAGAAATTCCAAGAAGACGCCACTCAACTATTCTCGGTCTCCTTTTCTGAGGAGGAGAGAGAATGAGATGAAGGAAAGAAAAAACTTTGAAAGTATTTCTTCAAATTTTATACATTCCTTTTCTTTATTCCCCTTGCTTCTTTTCTTCTCCGATTCCTTCAAATCGGCACATTTTACTTCTTTACTCTCAGAAAAGAGGGACGTCGATTTCCTGCAGTAGAGATAGGAGTAATCTGGCTCTTCACCTGTCGCGGGTGGCATCTGCACGTAGGTCCCCCCTAGACGCATGCAGCTTTACCACAGAAGGCGAGAAGTCAGCCACCTCGCCTACCTGTGCTCCTTCATGTCCCCTCTTCTCCGGCAACAGCGCTGGCAAAACAAACGTTTGCTCAATTAAAAAAGAAAAACGAGCTCTGCGGTGGAGCCCTTGCCTAGCATGCGTGAGGCAGGACTGGTTCAATCCTCAGCACCACATAAAATAAACAAATAAAACAGAGGCATTCTGTTCACCCACAACTACAAGAAAGAAAGAGAGAGAGAGGGAGGGAGGGAGGGAGGGAGGGAGGGAGAGAGAGAGAGAGAGAGAGAGGGAGGGAGAGAGAGAAACAAGAAAAAAGAAAAACGTACAAATTCCTTGGGTAATCGCTGGTACCAGACCGGTAGATGCTCAACTGCGGGATGAGGTGGCAAAGAAGAGGTGTCATTTAAAGTCAGAGTTCTCGAGCCAGTAGAAGTTGCAGGATCTCTTCCGCGTTTCAGGCTTGGAATTGCTGAGTGACAGCCGGGAGACTCCAGCCCGCGAGGGTTTAAATTTGAAGCGGCGGCGGCGGCGGTCGCTAAGTAACCACGCAGAGGAGGCGGGCCGCATTGCGCATGCATATGTTGGCAGGCTTCTGCGCACGCGCGGCTCCACCTCGGGGGCGGTCAGGGCCGACGGTTGCCAGGGTGACGAGGATACAATATGGCGGCTGTATCCTAACGCTCTTGGGCAAGGGGCCACCGCGGAGGTCCCAGCACAGGATCCCGCCTCAGGGAGAGGAGGGCAGGTGCCGGCCTTCCTGCCCTTGTCTTTTCCGCGCAGGGTCGGCCAGGGGTTGTCGCCGACTCCCGCGCGCAGGATGAAGAGTGAGTGAGCCGGGAGGGCCGGGCCGGGCCGTTCTGGGGGCTGGGCGGGCGAGTGCCGCTCTGCCCCGGCGCCGGGCGGTGCAGGCCGGAGGTGCGGGAGCCGGGTTTTCAGAGCCGCGCCGGGCGAGGTTCCGTTTCTGAACGTTCCGGCTGGCCGTGGGCGCTCGCAGCCGGCGCCCTGCCGGGGTGACGTGCTCGGCGTGCAGTCGCCGGACCTGGGCGTGCGTTTCATTTTGGGGTCGAGCAGTAGTGTTTCTATAGCAGCTGGGTTCACAGGAACTTAGAAGCATCCTTTTAGTGAAATTAGAAACGGTTACTTAGAAGTTGGGAAGCGGGCCTCATCCTAGAAAAGGGGTAAAAAAAGTTTGCCCGCGTTGGGTTTGTGGATCGTGGCCGATGTGCGGCCAGCAGCGCGGCTCGCTGTGGCGTTCAGCGTCACTCTTCAGGTATTGTCGTTTATGGCTGTCGGCCAGAGGCGCTTACAAGTCCAGCCTCCTTTGCTGTTTCAAGTTGGAACTATGCTAGTTATATTAAACCTGCATTGTATCCTAACTGTTTTTTGTGAATGCTGTAAATTGCACAATATATTTAAACATATCCGTCTTTGCCTCATACACTCTTCATGCTGCACTCCAAGAAGTGACTTCTCTTTTCAGTTTCCTAAATATGTGCGCGTGTATGTGTGTGTGTGTGTGTGTGTGTGTGTGTAAATATGTGTCTATCCCTTTCAATGTTAGCTGGTGTGGTGGAGCACACCTCTAATCCCTGCAACCCTAGAGGCTGAAGCTGGAGGATCTAAAGTTCAAGACCAGTCTCTGCAAATTCTGGAAGCCCTAAGCAACTTAGGCTCTGTCTAAAAAGAAAAAAATAAACAAAAAGAACTGGGGGTGTGGTTCAGTGGCTAAGCACCCTGGTTTCAATTCCTGACACCAAAATATAAATAAATAAAAAATGAAATAAAGAAAAAAACCCCTAATGTTAGTAACTACATATAGGCATATGTATATATGAGTATATAAAGTACATATGTATGGGCTGGGGTTGTGGCTCAGTGGTAGAGCACTCACCTAGCATGTGTGAGGCCCTGGGCACCACATAAAGGTAAATAAGTAAAGGTATTGTGTCCATCTACAACTAAAAAATATTTTTAAAAGTATATATAATTTGCATTTTATGTTTTATGCCCTAAAGGGGCTTAACCACTTAGCTAAATCTCCAGCCCTTTTTAAAATTTTTGAATTCTGGGATAGGGTCTTGTATTGCACAGGCTGTCCTGGAACTCCCAATCCTCCTGCCTAAGCCTCCAGAGTAGTTGGGATTACCTATGTGTGCCCCCACCCTGGTTCATCTCAGATGGTCATTTTGGTAGCTTTCAGTTACTTGGTTTAGTGATAACATCTTTTCCCTTTCTTTATTCGATCTTAAAATCCAGTCCGAGAGTTCATGCAGCCTCTCATCTCTGGTTTAAGACCTGATCATGAATTAAATGTTTTACAAGTAGTTAACAGTGGAGAGAACATTTCAGAACAGAAAATCACAGAGACGGAGTCATAGAAGCAGAATGAACAGGAAAAATGAGTAATGGTGCAAGTTGGACCCATAGCATGGGGTCAGAATACACCTGGGCATGCTAGATTATCATGTTGGTCTTTAATTTTTGGATTTTCCAGGTATTCTTTCTTATTGTTTTTTAGGCAGTGCTCACATGTGTAGGGATGCTTTGATCAGTCTGTAGTGTATTGCTGTCCTTCTCCTTTTTGTTTTGGATCATTTGTGTAGGCTGAGCAGACATGATGGCAGCTTGGGGCCAGTCTCTGACCTTTCTTTATCATCCTGGTTTTCTTTTCTAGGTATGTATCACTAAGCAAATCACCCCAACTTAGGGACTTAACAACACACTTTTCTTATGGTTCTGTGGGTTGCCTCCACTCAACTAGGCAGCTCTCACTGGGAGTCTCATGAATTTGTAGTCATGATAGGTGGTGGTTGGAGTTGAAGTCATCTTGAAAGTCTCATTCACTTGTCTGGCAAATGATGCTGGTGGTTCTCTGGGACCACAGCCTGGGCTGTCGGAACCCTACAGGAGGTCTCTCCTTGTGGCTTGGGCTTCCTCACATCATGGCAGTTGAGTTCTGGGTGTATATCCCAAGAGTAGGAAGTGGAAGTGGGCAGCTGCCTGAATGGTGAGCCACACCTGTAGTGAGGCTGAGGCAGGAGGATACTTGAGCTCACAAGTTTGCAACCAGTCTGGTCAACATACTGAGACCCACCTCAAATAAAAAAAAAAAAAAAAGTTTATCCTTATGTAATAAGTCTGTGTATGTTAGTACTCTAAAAATTAAAGTATCATTTTTTTCCTGTTTGAACTTTAGAGTGTGTGTATGTGTGTGTGTGTGTGTTTGTGTGTGTTTTGCTAGAGATGCTCTACCACTGAGTTATACCCGCATCTTTTTTACTTTTTTAATTTTGAGACAGGATCTCACTAAGTTGCCCAGGCTGGCCTCAAACTTGTGATCCTCCCACCTGAGGTTCCAGAGTTGCTGGCATTACAGGTATGCACCACAATTGTACCCAGCTCCTGTTTGAACTTTTTAATAGATTAGTTGAGCACACCTACAGAAATAGGAAAAAATTACATGTTCTATAGTAATGGTTTTGCTGCAATATTACAGAGAGATTTTTAAAAATTATCTGTTGGGGCTGGAATTGTGGCTCAGTGGTAGAGTGCTTGCCTAGCATGTTTGAAGCACTGGATTCAAGCCTCAGCACCGCATAAAAATAAATAAATAAAAGGTATTGTGTCCATCTACAACTAAAATTTTTGAAAAATTATCTGTTGTAATTATAATAATTTTGAATGGTCTCTTAAATACCAATATTTTCATAGAATCAAAGTTTCAAGGTTATCTTAATCTTTTTCCATCTTCTCCTTCCTAGTGGGTGTATTACCTCCTGTTTTTTATAAATGGTTGCATCAACTAGCATCTTTTTTTTTTCTTGAAAGAAAGACAAAATTAAGTAAAAGCAATACTGACTTTGTGGTAAATTCTGCCAGTAGATTTTAAGGTGGTCTCAAGACCCTCCACTACTTGGCATAATGAGTCTTGGTTAACATTTTCTTTCTTTTTTTTTTTTATATATTTTTTTAGTTGTTGATGGACCTTTATTTTAAATGCTTATTTACATGTGGTTCTGGGAATCCAATGCAGTGCCTCACATGTACAAGGCAAGCGCTCTACCGCTGGTCTACAACTCCAGTCCCATAGTTAACATTTCCTTAGATGTAATTTTCATGGATATTTTCTGTGTATGAATATATATATTTACTACACACACACACACATTCCTTAGACAAACACCCCCAGATAAATGGGATTACATTAAATATGTTGTAACTTGCTAGGATGATGCTTCCATGAAGTTGTTTGAACACAAACCTTTGAGTGAGTTTATCACTGTGTACTTTATTAACAATGGACTTACTGAGGTAGTGGGTGTGGTTTTAAATTTAAAGTTTTTATGAATTTTTGAATAATTTTATGTCCTTTTGTGTTGGTGTGTGTGCTGGGTTTTTGTTTGATTTTGAAGACCTGTGGAAATAGACCCCTTGCTGAGTGGTTTTTGTGGAGATGGTTTCTCTTTTCCTCTCCCTACCTGCCATCCCTGTTGGACACTCCAGATTTTCCACCTGCTGGAAGACCCCAGCTGGAAACTACCCTTCACCTACCACCACTTTCTCCTGGTGTCATGCTCCCTTCTGGCTGGTTGTGACAGTCTGGAGCCAGCCTGGGGTGTTGGCACACATTCTGAGTTTGTGCACTTAAAACCATTTTAAAGTTTACAGGTGGGCTGGGGTGTGGCTCAGTGGTAGAGCACTCACTTAGCATGTGTGAGGCCCTGGGTTCAATTCTCAGCACCACATAAAATAAAGGTCCATTGACAATTAAAAAAATGTTTAAAAAAAATAAAAAATAAAGTTCAAAGGTGACCTACTTTTTTTTTTTTCAAAGCAAGTCTGCTTAATTTATTTGTGATGAAAGGCAAATTGGAACTTACTGTGTAAGATTCGACTTCTGCTCTTCAATGCAAATCCTTAGTCCAGCGCCCAGCTCTCAAGGACTGACCTTCCTTTCCCCTGAGATCCTATGCCTGTCTCCCCGTAAGCTGGCACTGTACCTTTCCGACAGACATTTGAAGTTCACGTTGCTGTTGGCACTTAGCCCACAGACTCACTGATTTCTTAAAAATTTTGAAATGCCCATCTTTACAGACATTTAAACAAATATGAAATCATTATGAACATTATACAACATAGAAAAGTATAATGAAGAAAAGTTATCTTCAGTGTCACTTAGATATAAATGTAAAAAACTTGACATTCACATCCATTCTTTCTGTGCACATATGCATATGATCATCATCATCTTTCTATTTCACTTAATGTTAAATCAAGGCTGAACATTTTTCTATTTTATTAAGTATTATTTGAGAGCATCATTGTTAATGGCAATGTAATATTTCACTCCATTGCTGTTCCATAATTCATTAGATCATCTCCTTGTTATCAGATGTTTAGGTTTCTAGCCTTCCTGCTGTAGAAACACTGTGATGCCCCTGTTTGTCTTTCTGTTGGGGTATCCCCTTGGGGTTGGACATCCTGAACAAAACCTTTGGATTTTTCTAATATCTCTTCTCCTACACATGCATGCAATGATTGCCTACGTAGAATACCCATGCAGAAATCTTGAGGACCTGGCAGGTGAGTCAGCACACATCCCTGTCCCCAGGAAGCTCAGGACTGCCGGGGACTGTGGACGTCTGCATACTACCACTCTCCTTTCCTTATTAGCTGTGGCATGCCAGGGGCCACTCAGTCTTTCTGTGCACTCTGCTGAGTGCACGTGTTTGTTGCAAACCTTTGGCAGTTGGTGGATGGAAAGGTCTCTTATTTAAAAAAAAAAAAAAAAAAAAGCTTTTTTTTAAAAAATATTTTTTTAAAGAGAGAGAGAGAGAAATTTTTTTAA